TTTCCCAGAACACCCTCTCCTTCCCACCCACCTCCCGCTCCATCTTCCATACAGCACAATATTATGCCTACCACACACACCATACCATACCATAGTTCCTACCACACATACCATACCATACCATACCATACCACACCATACGTACCATACCGTACCATACCATACCATGGCGTACCATAGCATACCATACCATATCACACCAATGCCACACAGTACCATACCATACCATACCTCCAGTACCATTCCATACCACTCCATACCGAAAACCATACTATTTACATGGTTTCGTGCCCCTCCCACCCCTCCAGGGAGGCCCCGCCTGAGCGAGGAGGGTATCGGAATACCATACTATTTACATGGTTTCGTGCCCCTCCCACCCCTCCAGGGAGGCCCCGCCTGAGCGAGGAGGGTATCGGAATACCATACTATTTACATGGTTTCGTGCCCCTCCCACCCCTCCAGGGAGGCCCCGCCTGAGCGAGGAGGGTATCGGAATACCATACTATTTACATGGTTTCGTGCCCCTCCCACCCCTCCAGGGAGGCCCCGCCTGAGCGAGGAGGGTATCCGAAAACCATACTATTTACATGGTTTCGTGCCCCTCCCACCCCTCCAGGGAGGCCCCGCCTGAGCGAGGAGGGTATCGGAAACCATACTATTTACATGGTTTCGTGCCCCTCCCACCCCTCCAGGGAGGCCCCGCCTGAGCGAGGAGGGTATCGGAAAACCATACTATTTACATGGTTTCGTGCCCCTCCCACCCCTCCAGGGAGGCCCCGCCTGAGCGAGGAGGGTATATCCGAAAACCACACTATTTACCTAACAGCGAAGACTGATAGGTTTCTAGTGGTGTCAAAAGAGAGCAGCAGATGACTCCACAGGGGGGTCTGGGCGGGTGCCGGACAGGGTGCCGCAGAAGTCGTTTTAAGCCAACAGTCACACACTTCGTGCTATTCGACCTCCCAGAACTCCATTCCCGGGCCACATTTTGGATGCCCGGAGCCAACTGTAGGCCACTTCGTGCTCTTCGAGTTCCCAGAACTCCATTCCCGGGCCACATTTTGAATGCCCGGAGCCAACTGTAGGCCACTTCGTGCTCTTCGAGTTCCCAGAACTCCATTCCCGGGCCACATTTTGGATGCCCGGAGCCAACTGTAGGCCACTTCGTGTCTTCGAGTTCCCAGAACTCCATTCCTGGGCATGATTTTGAATGCCCGGAGCCAACTGTAGGCCACTTCGTGTTCTTCTAGTTCCCAGAACTCCATTCCTGGGCCACATTTTGAATGCTGAGGCAGGCTGATGCTGCGGCCGAGGCAGGCTGAGGCTGAGGCAGGCTGAGGCTGAGGCCGAGGCTGAAGGCAGACTGAGGCTGAGGCTGAAGCAGACTGAGGCTGAGGCTGAGGCAGGCTGAGGCTGAGGCTGAAGCAGGCTGATGCTGAGGCAGGCTGAGGCTGAGGCTGAGGCTGATGCAGGCTGAGGCTGAGGCAGGCTGAGGCTGAGGCCGAGGCTGAAGGCAGACTGAGGCTGAGGCTGAAGCAGGCTGAGGCTGAGGCTGAGGCAGGCTGAGGCTGAGGCAGGCTGAGGCTGAGGCTGAGGCAGGCTGAGGCTGAGGCTGTGACTGCGACTGCCGTTGCCGCTGCGACTGTCATCGCGAATGCGACTACGACTGCGAGAACAGCAGAATTCTACAACTTGATTTTCATCTGAATCTTAAGGGAATGCTTTCAGATATGCTTCTACACATCGCTGTTAGGTTGCTTTGCCGGGATAATTACATGGTTTCGTGCCCCTCCCACCCCTCCAGGGAGGCCCCGCCTGAGCGAGGAGGGTATCCGAAAACCATACTATTTACATAGTTTCGTGCCCCTCCCACCCTCCAGGGAGGCCCCGCCTGAGCGAGGAGGGTATCGGAAAACCATACTATTTACATGGTTTCGTGCCCCTCCCACCCCTCCAGGGAGGCCCGCCTGAGCGAGGAGGGTATCGGAAAACCATACTATTTACATGGTTTCGTGCCCCTCCCACCCCTCCAGGGAGGCCCCGCCTGAGCGAGGAGGGTATCGGAATACCATACTATTTACATGGTTTCGTGCCCCTCCCACCCCTCCAGGGAGGCCCCGCCTGAGCGAGGAGGGTATCGGCAAACCATACTATTTACATGGTTTCGTGCCCCTCCCACCCCTCCAGGGAGGCCCCGCCTGAGCGAGGAGGGTATCGGCAAACCATACTATTTACATGGTTTCGTGCCCCTCCCACCCCTCCAGGGAGGCCCCGCCTGAGCGAGGAGGGTATCGGAAAACCATACTATTTACATGGTTTCGTGCCCCTCCCACCCCTCCAGCGTCGCGAGGAGGGCATCAAGAAAATGGGTCCCACGAAACCGTTAATCTCTTTATGTGGGGAACTCCGTTAGCATAATTTCTGCCACGCCGCGGAGAGGGGGGAGGTCGGGGCATCCCTTGTCCGAGGATCGGCCCCCCCCGGTGGCCGGAAATAGTGCCCACGACCGCCCAGCGCGAGGACGGCAGCGTCGGCGAGAGGAGGGGGGATAATGATTTTTGGGAAAAGAAGGAGGAGGAGGAGGAGGAAGAGGAGGAGGAGGAGGAGGAGGAGGAGGAGGAAGAGGAGGAGGAGGAGGAGGAGGAGGAAGAAGAAGAAGAAGAAGAGGAGGAGGAGGAGAGAGAGGAGGAGAGGTGGGGAGGAGTAGAAAAGGAGGAGGAGGAGGAGGAGGAGGAGGAGGAGGAGGAGGAGCATGAGGAGGAGGAGGAGCAGGAGGAGGAGCAGGATGAGAGAGGACGAGCAGGATGAGAGAGGAGGAGGAGCAGGATGAGAGAGGAGGAGAGGTGGGGGAGGAGGAGGAGGAGGAGGGGGACGAGGAGGAGGAGGAAGGGGAGGAGGACCAGTGTAAACCCAAGACCCATCAACGCTACTGCAGCAGACCCTCCCTCCAAGGTCCCGCTTCACAGGCCCCTGCAAGGATTCATTTGCATTGAGGGAAGTGCCCCGTTGAAAGACTAGCATTTGAAACTTTTGCACTGCCAGTGCACCATTCCTGGGGCTTCAGCGCCGCGATTCACCGTTACTGTTGTCTTGACGATGCTGAATCGCGCCAGAACGCCATTCCTGGGACTTCAACGCGGCGAATCAAGATACGTGTAGCGCCTTGACAGTCCGACATCGTTCCAGCATACCATTTCTGTTTTTGGGACCATGATATGGTTTCAAGTTGTTGTAAACTCTCAAGACGAGTGTGCGCGCCGCCAAGCCGAGATCCACATTTTGAAGTGGAGCCGCCCTCCGACCGTAAAACTCTTGCAGCTGCTTCAAACGAATGTGCGCGGCGCTAAGACGAACGCCACAGCTTGAGAGCGGATCGTCCTCCATCCGTGCGATTCTCTTGCAAATGTTTAAGCGAATGCGCGCGGCGCTAAGGCGAACGTCACCCATTGAAAGTGGTCCGCCCTCCATACGTGAATCTCGTGTCAATGTGTCAAACGAATGTGCGTGGCGCTAAGGCGAGGAACTGGCCTCAGGGCGCGACAGGGAGGATTTATGTGACAGGAAAGGAAAGGCGGCGAAGAAGGAAGAGGAAGAGGACCAGGACGAGGAAAAGGAGGAGGAGGAGGCGCAGGGGGAGAGAAGGATTGGGAAGGATGATGATGCTGATGATGATGATGACGATGATGATGATGATGATGATGATGATGATGATGATGATGATGATGCTGATGATGATGATGAGGAGGAGGAGGATTAGGAGGAGGAGGAGGAGGAGATAGAGGAGGAGGAGGAGGAGGAGGAAGAGGAGGAGGAGGATGATGAGGAGGAGGGGGGGAGAGGAGGAGGAGGAGGGAGGAGGAGGAGGAGGAGGAGGAGGAGGAGGTACGTGAAAGAGGAGGAGGAGGAGGAGAACGAGGACGAGGAGGAGGGAAGAGGAGGAGGATGAGGAGGAGCATGAACAAAGAGGAAGAGGAGGTGGAGGAGGAGGAGGAGGAGGAGGAGGAGAAGGGGGAGGAGGAGAATGAGAACGAGGACGAGGACGAGGACGAGATGGAGGAGGACGGGAGGAGGAGGAGGAGGACGGGAGAAGGAGGAGGAGAAGAAGGAGGAGGAGGAGAAGGAGGGAAGAGTTGGCTTGTCGTGGCCATCGTGGCCGCCGGGCGAGCCGCCAGGATGCGCGAGACCGAGGCGTAGACCTACGGCGCATGGTGCGGAGACCGAGGACGACGACGAGTGAGCTTTGTCCTGGCTTCACTAACTGCTTCTAGAGTCTAGAAAGGGCGCCGAGGGTGACTAAGATCGGGGCCTCCCAGACGGGGTCGGAGTGGATGGGGTCTGAGGATCGCGGCTCGATGTGGAGTCACATTTTCTGCACGTCGACGTCGTCGATGCATCGCCGACGTCGTCGATGTATGGGCGATACATCGCCGATGCGGCGCAGTCATCTGACCCATCTACCCGCACCCTATCTACGAGGCCTCCATAAGAGGGAGGGGGGCTCTCGATTCACCAGCGCCGTGTGCTCCTTGGCGAAGGCCTCGGGCGCTCCGCGCTGGCACACTTTTTCCGCCCAGGGCCAGTGAACATGTAACCCATCTGCCCAAACATCAGGCAATGCCAGAGGGGGGTCATCGGACGGGGCCAGGACGAGGATAAGTCTGTGTCAGAGCGTTCCGGAACGCTCTCAGAGCGTCCCAGAGCGCTTTGAGAAGGCCGCGACGCCCGATACATCCTCCAGAACCGCCAGATCTCAGAGAGTCTCGATTTATTCTCACCAGAATTTCTCCTCGTCCTGGCTCCGTCCTGCATCACCACCAGGGAGGTCACAACCACTTCCTGGAAGTCGAGCGCCGAGGAGGAGAGAGGATCGAGGACCGAGGGGGCCTTGACCGTCTTCTGGGGCATCACGGGGAGTCCCGCGTGATCCAGGGGGGCCGGATCCTGGAGTTGGTGGCGGTACCCCCGGCAACACACATTCCCGTGGCATTGCCGGGATCTGCTCACATAGGCGGACTACAGTGCCAGCCCCCTCCGTGAGGGAACGGGGTCGGCGACGCCATTTGGGACACGTGGCCTCTGCGAGCTAGGAGGTGTGAAGTGCTCGCCTTTCCCGACCCCTCCGCCTCCCCCCCTTGGTCCTCCTCCTTGTCCTCCTCATCCTGCCTTCATTGCGCCTTCTGTCCTCCTCCTTCCTCGTCACCCCCCTTCCCTCCTCCCTCCCTCAATCTTTCTCACATCCCTGTGTCCTTCCTCCTCAGTCCGCAGTCCTCCTTAAGGGCGAGTAATCCAGTCACCCGCCATCCCAAGGGCGAGTCAGTCAGTCGGTCAGTCAGTCAGTCCTCGTCCCTCCTCCTCCTACTTCCTCCCTCCCTCCTGCTCTTCTTCCCTCTGCGTTCGTTTACTCGTCCTCGTCCTCCTCCCCTGTCCCCTCCTCCAATCCTCCCCCTCCCCTCCTCCTCTTCCTCCCCCTCCCCCTCCTCCTCCTGCGTGACAGCCTCATGACTTAGCAGCTGGCTGTAGACGGAGCTCACCCAGCAGGGGCCGTCAGAATTTTCCGCTTTTCTGGGCGCATGCCCTGCAGGGAACGCCGCCCGCCTGGCCCTCGCCTGGCCCAGACAGGCCATCCTCAGACCTCTGGCGACACACTTCTCGGCGAAGGCTGAGGTACCGACCCAGACCCCCTCGCGATGTTAAAAAAACACGACGTGAGTTTTTTCGTTACTTTCGGCATCCGGGGGCCCTTCCCGAGCCTCGGGACCGTCAAAAACGATTCAGGACGAAAAACCGGTCCCGGGGAAGGGGTCCAGACTTCTGGGGGTCGACGTTGTGAAAAAATCACGACGTCGGGGGTCTGGGGATACCGGTACCCTTCCCTCGTTTTCCCTCTTTTTTGAGGGGCCTTCCTGGGAGGCCGTCGTCGCCGCGGCTGGATTCGCTTCGGAATCCTGGTCAGAACGCGCCCCGGGAGATATCCAGGGAGCAGTGGTATAGGTACCTTCTGGTTTCCCCAGACACGCTCGCTGGCGACTGATCTAAAGATCGCGCCGCTGACTTCTCGCCGTTTGCGGCCTCTGGGGGCGGCTGCTTGGGTCCTGGGGACCTTCAAGAGACTGCTCGGGATGAGGAGCCAGCCTCGGCGAAGGGTTCGAGGTATCCGATGGCGGCTCCCAGCGTCGAGTCGTCGAAGGTCTGGATCACAGTTCCTGGATCCGTTTTCAGTGGCGCCAGCCCCTCGGCCGCCAGCGTTTGCCAGCCCGTTGTTAGGCAACGGCGACGCTGAGACCGAGGGGCCATTCTACAGACGGCAGCCGTGGCGCGATGGAAAACCTGTCACCTCGCACATGTCAGCATCGTTACTGTTGCCGCACTGACAGCGCCAGCGACTGGGGCCGATATTTCCGCCAAGGTTGTAGACTACGACCCCGTCGCGCGATTCAATATCGGCCTATTGGAACAACAGCAGACCGGGGATCACGCATTAAGGTTCCGAAAGCATGGAGCGCATAGCTTCCAGTAAAGAAGCGCGCGCAAATGATAACTGTTGTTTTGTTTACTCACTGATAGAAGCACAGCTCTCGTGACCGTGTCGCGCACTCTTTGGGCTCGAACAGGCCCGCCCCCCACACCAGCGACGTGTGTGTGTGCGTGTGTGTGCGTGTGTGTGTGTGTGCGTGTGTGTGCTTGTCATGTTGTAATTGTTGTGCTGCAAAAGAGCTGCTGCTGATGAGGACAGATACGCGCACACACATCCACGCACACGCACACACACACACACTCCCACACTCACAGTCACACTTACGCTCACACTGACATTGACACACACACACACACGCACTCACACTTACGCACTCACACACAGACGCACACAGACACAGACACAGACACAGACACAGATACAGACACAGACGCAGACACAGACACAGACACAGACACAGACACAGACACAGACACAGACGCAGACACAGACACAGACACAGACACAGACACACACGCACACCCACGCACACAGACACACCCACGCACACAGACCTGCAAAGGCTTGTCCTGCAGTGCAGAGGTGCGTCACCACTGCTGTGCGTCGCCACCTCCCGAGAGGAATCGAGGAGGGACGAACACGAGGACCGGGGCGCTGTCCTGCGCTCGTGGCCTCACGAAGGGGGAGGGGTGGGGCGCCCTGCCCCCCCCCCCCTCCTCGAGGCGGAGGCGGCGCCCGGCACCCCGCCTTCCAATAAGAAGTCGAGCGTGTCCTTCTACAGGAGGCATATTCCACCATGGTCAAAGACTATTTGTTCTATTATTTGTTCTATTATAGGGGGCGTTTTCTTGACTATTGTTGACCATTTTTGCGTATTTGCTCGTGGTCTTCTCTTTGTTATTCGTCCAAGCTCCGCCTGTAGGGGGGGACACGCCCGACCTAGCCCTACCAGCGACCCCGTTCAGGGTCCACTTCGATCCGAGCGATCCGATTCGGTTTCGATTCCGGCTGGCTCGATCCGATTCGGCTTCGTACCGATGCCATCCATCCAATCCGATGCACATTCCGGTTCGATACGATCACCTGATTCGACGTTGATGGACCCTGCCCCGTTTGGCATCGCCTGCTCCTGTGGGCGCGAAAGACCTCCGAGAAACGGCGCGCTGTACATCTGCGGGCAGCCGCGGCCGACCTTTGGGCGCCACAGCCTCGTGTCCTCCCTCGTCCTCCTCCTCCTCCTCCTCCTTCTCGCCTTCTCCAGTGCCCGAGTCCTCTCGAGAAGGTATAGGCGATTTCGAGCTCAAGCTTTTCGAGCCGGGCGTTTTCGCCAGATTTCGGGCCCGGGAACCTCAAAGGTCGATCTGGCAGAGTCTGGCTCGGGAAATGGCGCAGAAACATGGGATCCGGGGCTCAGGTCATGATTTTTCACGATGTTGTATTTTTTGTTCCCTTCGCCGGACCTCGAGGTTATCGAAGGAGAAGAGCTGCATAACAATGAGTTTCTGGAGGGCAGAGCGAATTTCTTAGATCTGCGCTGCGGCCACACTGGCCGCGCCTCCGGCGCTGCCCCTGGCGCGCTACCCCCGCCAGGGAGGGGGTTCCAGCGCCGACCCAAGCAATCTGCGCGGACCTTCGACAGCTTGTGTGCACGTTTTGTTTCTCTGCCCGCAGTCTTCGCCTATGCCGACTCATCATTTACCCCGGCACCCTGCCTTCCGAAAATGTAGCGGCGGGATAATTTTTGGCAAGTTGTTTGCTTCTGGGGGCACTCACGGGGTCCAGGATCATCCGAAAACGACTCGGGGTCAAAGGCCAAGGCCCCCCGGGAGCCGGGAGGGGGTGCAAGGGCGAATCAGGAAATCGGGTCGGCGACCGGGAAATCCGGTCTCGAATCGGGAAATTGTCCTATGGCGAGCGGGGATTTTTTGGGGGTGAACGGAGCCACCGGGATTTTTGTTGGGCGAACGAGGGCATTTTTCTGGGCGAGCGAGAAAATGCTCCGGTCCCCCATGGATCAGGCGAAGATTTCTTCTGGCGGTTGTGAAATGACGTTTAGGGGCTGGGCCTCATCTCGTGCTTCGGACTGGCTGTCGTTGCGGGTGTACCGGGCTTCTCGGGCCATGTATCTCGCATTTGCTTTCGTTGTGCTGGGGCCCTCTGAGGGCGGCACCGCATAATGCTGCCTTCGGTGTCATTTGCGCAGTCCTGGAATGTTGATCCTGGTGTGCGGTTGCTCGGCTGTCCCGAGCGGAAGTTCGGAAATGTAGGGTTGGCGGGTCCTGAGAGTTCCGCTTCCTACACTCGTTGCTCTCATGTGTTTCTTTGTTTTAACCTGGTAGAGAGCATTTTGGCTCGATGTTTGTTTGTTCTTATTCAGACTTGTTCTTTGTCATATGCCTTCGGTCTGTGGTGGTTGCAGGTGCCTTACGTTTCCTTGGTGGTCGGGGGTGTGCTTCACTCCTGCTTTCGTCGCGTACTGGTTCTCTGGAGGCGGCGCCTCATCGGGCGGTCTCAGGTGCCCCCCTGGATTGCTTGGAGTTCTCGACGTTCTGCCCTTCGCCATTCACGTGTGAGGCGCGGACGCGTGCGCGACTCGCTTTCTCCAGGCTGCCCTGGAACAGAGAACCGCAGGTTGGCACGGGCGGGCGCAGTGCGCTCGAGTTGTCAGTATCGGGCAGCGGCCCGCGCTGGTTTGCCATGGAACAGCAGTTCAGGAATGCGGCCGCGTGGCCGTGCTGCTGGCAAGATATCAGAAAGGATGGCGGATGGTGTGTGTGGGTCTCCCCGTTGGCAGTACAGGTTCTCGCAGGTGTTGTCCTGCTTCCGCCGGGTGGCCCTTTTGGTCCTGCGCTCCCTCCTCATGTGCGGGAGGAAGAGGGAGGGAAGAGGGGGGATGAAGGAGGGTGGTCGGAGGCGAAGGAGGAGGAGGGGAAGATGAGGTGGAGGAGGATGGAGGCAGGGAGGGGAAGGAAGTGAGGGATGAGGAGGATGAGGGAGGGGAAAGAGGGAGGAGGCACGGGCGGGCGGAGCGTCGTCGTTGGCGTCGTGGTCGTCGTATTCGTCGTCTTCGTACGGTTCGTCCTCGTCGTCGTCGTCGTCGTCGTCGTCGTTTTCATGGTCGTCGTCGTCGTCGTCGTATGCAGCGGTCGTCCTCGTTGTCGTCGTGGTCGTGGTCGTCGTCGTCGTCGTCGTCGTGGTCGTCGTGGTCGTCGTCGTCGTCATCGTCGTCGTCGTCGTACTCCGCGTCGTCGTCGTCGTCGTTGTTGTCGTCAGCGTAGTCGTCGCCGTCGGCGCCGTCGTCGTCGTACCCGTCGTCGTTATGGTAGCGGTCGTCTTCGTAGTCGTCGACGTCTTTGTCGTCGTGCACCTCTGCGTCGTCGTTGTCGCCCTCGTCGTTGTCGTTCTCGTCATCGTGGTCATCATCGTCGTCGTCGTATTCGTCGTTTTCGCCGTGGTAGTGGTCGTCGTCGTCGTCGTCGTCGTCGTCGTCGTCTTCGTCGTCATGCTTCTCGTCGTCGTCGTCGTTATCGTCCTCGTCCTCATCGCTGACGTCGTCATCGTCCTCGTCGTCGTCGTGTTCGTCGTCGCGCGTCGACCCCACTGTGGAGCACAACCATACGTCTGTGTTTTTGCCCGCTTTCTGCACTGCCAGTTTACGAGTAGCATGGACGGTATGGTTTCCGCCCCTTACGTTGCCGTGCGACGAGTCAGGTCTTCTCTTACTTGTTCGGCCCTCCAGGGTTGCCCCGTGATGATCAGATCAGCCTTTTTTCTGTTCCCGCCTTGTGCGAGCCCGCGCGACGAGGACGAGTACTCCAAATCCCTTTCTCATCGACCCCCCCTAAAAAACAGGACCCCCCTCCGAATGCGACCTAATATTCCGGACCCCCCTCCTCGACGGGGCGCCGTGATAAACCGGACCCCCTAAGCTTCAATCCACAGGAAGCGCCCTAATAGACTGGATCCCCCCAGTTACACAAAAGGCGCCTTAAAAAACCGGACCCGGGGGACGATTCAAAAGGGATTTGGAGTACTGTGCAGTTCTCAGATAGCTCGTAGAGAGCTATGAGAGGGTTTCAGATTAAGAAGCCGGAGCCGCAGGGCAGCCCCGGAGATAGATCGTTCCGGCGGCGGTCCAGGCTCCCCGGC